AATTGGCAAAATAAAGAATGCAAAGACTTTATCCTAATTAATTTAATTCTCAATATAATTCCTAATTTACTTTATGTAAACCGAACCTTGAATCTTTAAAACAGCAAAAAAAAAAAAACAATTTTTTTACAAAAATAATCAAAAACCAATTCTGCAAATTGCAATGTCCTTCAGCGTCACCGACCAATCTTTTATCGATTTTTTGTTGTTTCGCGAAATGTGGAAACAAATGTCCATTTTTGGCAAACAATGCATGGATCAAAGCAGAAACAAGACTGTTTTATGTAAAATTCCTCGAAAGATCAGAATTTTTATAATTGCTATTTAATAAAATAAAGATACTAAAAAACACTGTTTAGTTCCATAATAGAAAATAGAATAGGTAAGTAAAATGTTTGTACAAAAACAAATTCCCCTTATGAACGAATTATTAGTTAATTGTTTAGTGTCTAATTTGATTTTTTAATTTAACAATTTTTCAACTGTGTAATTTATAAAACAGACATAACATGGAGTAGACCTGAAAACAGCTTTTAACTAGAATAAGCTAAAATCTCAGTAAAAACTGTCCTGTTGTTCAAGTAGAATAAAAAAAGTTCTTAATAATTGGTTAATCATGTAACCCGGCGCATCCACCATTTTTACATTAACTAATAAATTGTGTTGGTTGCTAATTAAATGTTTTTTTTGTATTTTTTGTTGTTGTTTTTTTTCCCTTTTGTGCTCTTTTGTTCGTCGTAAATTTTATTCGTCCACCTGTAATTGATTACTTCAGGTGCAATAGAGCGAAGCTTTTAGCCGATACTGAAAAACTGTTGGCATTACCATCCTTCATCCATCACTCATTCACTGCAAATGGAACACATAGCGAATTCAATATGTGACGCAAGATAAAATCAAATCAGCATTTGGAATATCGAGAGGTATTTCGCTTAGAATTTCTCGTGCTTCCATTTGTATCATTTTATTCCGGAGTACTTCTCGACTTTCGTTTAAGATTTTCATAGGTTCTTACCCTACGTTCATAAATCTTCTCTATGTTAAAAATTCCAGTAATAATTTTTCATGCATCCCGCCCTTCGCGACTTTTTATTCCTTTTACTTTTCTGTTTGGTTTATTGAGATTTACGTTTTTGCAACGCATCGAAACGGTGAATTTCCTTCACAAACATATCGAGAATTGAAATTAGGAATTTATCAGTTGCTAATTGCGCACAGCAAGTGCCGCTCTAATATTGATGTTTGTGCGAAATTCGGCGTGTGTGCATATCGGCCGCCGGCTGTTCGCATTACGCAATGTAATATTATATCAATCGGGGGCCCGAACGTCCGCCACAGCTTGGCGGGATGGCATTTGATGCATGTTTCATTAAGTCCTTGTCATAACCCTTCCTTTCAGAAGACACCGCAACTTGGGTCCAGTATATTACCTCCTAAGTATCCGATTATAGAGCTTACCAACTTTACCCAAAAATACAGAAACCTGCAATCACGACTCGGTAACTTCACACACTAAATAAACTTCTATCCCCGCACAAAAAAAACAGGAAAAATGAAATACAAATGCTTACATCAAAATAATTTTGAAAAAATGAACAAAATAATTTATTAATAAAAATATTGGGTAACAGTATTCACCAGTCTCGAGGTTGTTGCTCTATTGAAAAAGTAATTCGTGTTTCACGCAGTAGTTTAAATCGCAATTTCAATAAAGCGCAAAAGATCCACAATTGAAACCCAAACTGTGCCGAAAAAATTGAGAAACCTGTGACTTGGTAACTGTGATATCTCAATAATTTCACGCACAATACGTCTGGGATTTTCATATGACAAGCTTTTAATCTCACTTCAAGGATTCGAGTGCGAGCTCGTTATATTTAATGAACAAGATGCCGCGAGTAGACATATGCGAAAGTGATCTATCACCAGCACCCCATTAATCATCCGACACCAACTACGATGCACCCTCAAGCAAAGATACTTTAATGGATTCCTCCTAAGCCGCTTTGATTTTCAAAAAACGTATATCTCGCCCTTTGAATAAAATCGATGCTTCAAAACCGTCTAAATAATTCAAAATAAGCTGCGTTGTTTAGTTAGCATAAAACAAAGTCGCGTATTACAGATTTGACAAAAATTTAAAAAGTGGTTGCTATTTTTTATCACCTTTGTGCCATATGCACCCTCTCCGGTGTTCTTTTTACCTTGGGGTCCTCGTAAAAGATTTATGTTGCACATTTGCAATTAAAAACTCCTAAAATGGCGACTTTAAATCAGGGCCATAATTAGAGTAGCAAAATATGAAATAAACATTTTAATTGTTTGAAGCGCACCCTCGTCGCTTATTAGTTTAGGAGTTTGCGGGGATGAATAAATTCCGGTTACCGAAAAATAAAACTTGACCGTACTGAATTTAGATAAATTTTTAATATCGATGTCGATCTATGAGGGGCTAGGGCAGATAAAACCAGCAAATTAACATTCATGTATTCATCCCATCATGAATATCAAGTCGACTTTTTGAAATTTTCATCGACTATCGTTGCGTATGAAAAGCGCGTTTCTTAATTATGATGCAATTCAATTTGAGGGGAGTATCTTTTCAATTTATCAAGTTTGGCCCCCGAAATGGCTGTGTAATTAAAACGCAAACATTTTATCGTCCCTAAGAGCGAAAAAACGACACGAGATTTTCCTCGATAAAAAATACGGTAATTTAAAAACAAAGAAAATTACAAGGACAAGAGTGGAAATAAGGTTACGGTGAAATACGTCTCGGAGCTAAACAGCATTACGGACTTGATTGAAATGAAAACATGACCGCCCCACAATCAGAACACGGTTAATGTAATAGCAGCCAAAGTATACTCAGCAAACATAAACTTTTCAAGTTAATTAACATTTTTGTGTGCGTGTGCACAGCGCTCTGTATGCGATTAAAAGTAACCTGACACATATCCGATAGTGGATAGGAAATCATAAAGAACAAAGTAACAAACTGGCAATTACGAAGTTCAAGATAAACAAAAAATCATCAATAACAGAAAGCAAAATTGTAAATACAACGAAGTGAGGAAAAAAAAACAGTAAAATTGCATTTTTTGACATTCAGTAGGTATTCTCACATTGTATGTGCTTGTAAAAAAAACATTTTCCTTACCATCTAATATCTATTACTTTTAATGAATATAAATCTAAAATTATTTTTATCTTCAAGCGCTCAAAAATTATCTCTCTGCAGAACCGGTTGAAATGCCTTTTTTTGTTACCAGAGTTGTAATACTTCAAATCCTAGGAGTTGAAACGTCACTCGTAATCTACTAGTAGATGATACATTTTGCTGGTTAAAAATAATTTTTTTTTTTTTTTTCTATAGCAGATGTTAAACTATTTCTTTATCAATTCTTTTTAGTGAATGAAGTAGCACTTTAACCGCAAGAGTAGATGTTTTAGTAACCCATGGTAACAGACCAAAAATTGTAATTTTCTTTAAAAGTTTATTTTTTGTTTTAAACTTGAAGTTCTGCTATAGAAAAAAAAATTGTATTATACACGACGACAAAGATTCTCGTGAAATACCAGTAAGTCCACTCGTGAACTTAACCTTTTCACTCGTAGATAAACAATCTCTTTTTCGTCTTATACAATAACTATTTTTCGTCATATTAAGTCAAGATAGTGATTAATATAAAAGCCAAAACCAATTTTTGTGTGATTATTAGAGTTCGAACTTTTTAGCACAAAAAATAAACTTAATATGTAAGCAAAATATGCATAAAAAGCACAAAAACTAGAAATATACCTAAAAATAAACTCATATTTTTTTTTTTAAAAATTTCAGTGCTATTCAAAACAACAATAAAAAAGTCTCAAAACAACAAATATTTCACAAAAAAAAACTTAAAAACAATCCACACATAGAAAACATAATCACGTAATAAAGTTATTCTTCATCATTTTTATAAAAAATACTGATTAAATGTTTTTCAAAATTATCGACTAGAAAATTGCGTTTTCCTTATCGGTTGGCATATTTGAAAGTGTGAAAATTCATTCTACTTCTAACCTAGCAATAAATTTGAAGCATAATTAAAATTATAGCTAGCGTGGAAGGATCCATATCTAAATACTCGTTGAAAATATTAATTTTTACAACTTGTGATATTTTTTCTAATAAAACATAACTCCCATTTTCGACAAAATTTTTGTTTAAAGTTGCCGACAGTTCCACTTACTTTTAAACTAGCGTTTTTTAAATTATTTATTTTGTAGGTGAATGCGTATATGAAAGAGCTAAAAATAAGGTATCTAAACTCAAATTTTATCATTTTTGTATGGAACCGGTTTTGCAACTTAACGACTCAATTATAAATTATTTGTAATTATTAGTATTAAGCTAAGTAAAATGAACAAAATGATAAAAATAGCACTAAAAACGTTTTTTAACTTAAAAACACAAAATAATAAATAATAAATATAAAAACTGATTTATTTGAAACAGAAAGAAAACCCTAATTTACCTATATCGACAAAAGATTTTACGTTGCTTATTAAAATAACGGATTAACATAATACTAAGAATCCAAACCCTACTGATTATTAAGAGTAGTTTATAAAAAAACTTGAGATGCAGTTTTAAAAAAAAAGCGCTCGTAGAATTAGTAAAACTTTTGTCGTTATGTAATATTTGGTTACAAATTGTTGTACACGTAACGTGAGGTTTCGTATTACTAACTGACCATTTTTTCTTTCAAAGCCGTTCTTGTAATCCAATAACCCTCGAAGTGTTACACAAGCACATCCATCCTTCTGGCTATAAAACTTTTAATTTTTCCATCGTCCTAATCGAATCACCCCCTCCTCTCGCAACTTCCATCAGTGCATAAGTCCAGTTTATTTATCCCCTGTAAGAAAATATCAGTGAAGCCGATGCACGGCGCGCGCGTCGTCACTGGGTCGAACGTCGAGACGCCTCCAGTAGTCAGCTCGCTCCCACCGCATCCAGCAGTCTTGCGCCAGATGCCGGCCGGTCCACCAACGGGCATGTGACCGCAAAGAAATGACGCACTTGGTGCTAGTTCTTGTGCTTGTTGCCGTGGTACGGACGGGTGCGTGTCCCGTCATGTGCACGTGTTCCCGACACCTCACCGTTCGCTGCACCCAACAAGTGACCGTTGAAATTTTCACAAATCTCACCAACCTCCAAGAGTTGGTAATCGAAAACAGCGACCTCGGGGATTTATCCAATGTGTCGGTCGACGATCTAGAGTTACAGTCGATGCGACTGTCGCAAAATCGTATTGTGTCTCTTCCAGAGTTAAATGTCACGAATTTGAAACACTTGGACTTGTCAGAGAATTTGATCGAGACACTCGGAGTGGAGTTTAGGACATTACGGAGTCTCGAGATACTCAATTTGAGTGCAAACTTTTTAACAGTGATTGATTCGGACAGTTTTAGTGGACTTGAATCCTTAAAGTGTTTAGATTTGTCTCGCAATAACTTAACAAGGCTCGATGACGCATTATTTGAACCGTTACAAGCGTTGCAATATCTCAATCTAAGCTCCAACCAATTGAAAATTCTTAATGAACGATGTTTTATCAGTTTAGTGAAACTCCAACAACTTGATGTTTCTTTTAATCGCTTGATTCGAGTCGAATTGGGGAGTTTACAATTACCAAGTTTGGCAAGACTTCTCTTAGCTGGAAACTCGAAATTAGGGGCTTCGAAAGAACCAATGCTTGTGGGGACCGGTCAAAAACTTCAAACTGTTGATGCTTCAAACATCGGGCTTGAGCAAGTACCCCCAGCTTTGACTCATTCGATTAGAACCCTTCGCTTGGTTGGTAATAATATAAAAACAGTCCGATGTGGTGACCTCGACTCTTATCCCCTGTTACAATTACTTGATTTTGATTCGAATGGATTAGAAATGATCGAAGATGATGCTTTGGGACGACTTGACTCCCTCACGATTCTCTACTTGACTAATAATAACATGAGCGAAATCCCGAAAAGTCTCTCGGAGAAGCTCAAAGTCCTTCATTTGGAACACAATCAAATCCAACAAGTGCGTACTACAGACCTCCAAGGTTTGACCTCTCTCGAAGTCCTTCTCCTCAACGACAATAAAATCCGTTTGATCGAAGCGGAAGCCTTCAACCAGTTGACGTCTCTTGTCACTCTTGATATCTCTCGTAACCCTATTAAAATCCTCCAAGCCGGTTGTTTGTCCGGTTCGATGGCCCTCCAAGTCCTCCGTTTATCCAACATCGATGTCGATTCACCACCAAAAGAAGTTTCTTTTCCCTTATCATCAACCGAACACCTGATCACACTCGATCTGTCCGGGAGCCCGGGCCTTGCTCGCCAATTACTAGTCGATACTGCAGCCCTAGCCGCCTCGCGACAATTACAAGAGCTTGACTTGTCTTTCACCGACCTTGAATTTATCCGATCTGACTTGCTCCACTTTTTACCCCAGTTGAGAATCTTCCACATCGACGGTAACCGAATCAATTGCACCCAACTCGAATGGTTGGCGGCTTGGATGCGGCGACAAGACGAGCCCGAATACAAAAGAGTGGCCTGTGTGAGCCCCCCAGAACTCTGGGGGACACTCCTCATCGACCTCCAACCGATTGAAGCGACTCCAAGTCGACCCACCACCACTCAAGCTCCCACGACGCAAATGGAGGACTACATCGATATCGAGTCGTTTCTCCACGAAAACAAATCAGAGAATTTCCCGATAACAAACTCCTCTCATGGAGAAATGTCTATGTTTAGTGCTGGGGCGGAAGAGAGATTCCATCCGGGCCTAGTCCTCGCCGCAGCAATGCTAGGGATAGTCCTAGTACTAGTTTTACTCGGGATCAGATTTGCCAAGCGAAAGAGAGACGCATTGATGCTCAGACAGGAGGATCTGGAAGTCAGCTCGCTGCCAGGAGTGACAGAACTATGGTGACATTTGAGACAAGTCGACGAAGAGAGAACAATGCTCTATGAAACTAACTTAACTTAAGCGATTGTAAGTGCTTGTGATAAAAGTGAATTATACTTTTGTATGACTGAGCCATTTTTTTACTTGAGAATTGTAAGATAGAAAATATTTTAGATGAGATTCAAACGGGACGATATTACTGTGTCTGACGATAATTGTGTGATATTTTAGGTGATTTTTAATGAGCTACTCGGGTGTGTTTTGCGTTTCTTCCGATCTTAATGTTCTGATTATCGGTTTTGCTACACATTGTACATACCTGTCATGTTTATATTTCAGTGCCATTTGTTCTGTGTATTGTGATAGTCCCATAAATTTAATGAAAAATATAGACGTATTTAAAGTAAAAAGTTTTATTATTTCTTCGAAATTGGGCCAAAAATTCTTTTGATCAACAGCAAATCTTATTAGAACGAATAAATCAATTGTTCAACAATAAAAGTGGGTTTTAATTATTTTTCGAAAGTTAAGAGAATAGCAATACATACTGACAACAGACACTATTTCGAAAGTTCATTTTGCGTTATGTTTTATATTATTTTTTATGCCTTTTCTTTAACGATAAGATGCAAAGTTGGAGATACGCTATATCTCAAAACTTTATCAATAATTTGATAATGAGTTATCCAAATAGAGTAAGAGACCTAATAAGAGTCAGAGAAGGCCCCACACAATATTAGGTTTTTATAGAAACGGCAAAAATTTATAACTTCTCAGAAGTTACCTCTTTTATTCATTTTTCATGTTAATTGTTTTTTTTTTCATTTTTTTATTAATTATTTTCTAATATCCACTTCAATAGTTGAGCAATTCACAAAGACGTGACAAAAAGACTTTTCTATCATAACTCAGCAGTTCTTAAGTTTGTTTCCTGAAATAAACGCATGCGTATGTTATACAGGAATTTTTCTTTGTAGCCTTCCATCAAATTCCTCAAAAATAAAGGTTTTTCATAAATATAAAAAGTTTATTTGAAATTAATTAAAATTGTTTTGTAAGTGTCATAATTATACTCATAATACAACATTGTAATTTAATATCAAATTTTAATTACTCCTGGTGTGGTTTGGTTTAGTTTAGTTTATTTACGCCAACATTTATTATTTGCTACATATGGAGCGCATTTATGCACAAAAAGTGAAAAATTAAATTTTTTCTCATAGTACGAAGCAGATTTTTTTAATCTTCTGTTGTTTAATAGAGAATGGAACATAAAAATTCAACTTGATATATCTTTATTAAGTACAAATAGCTTATTTTTTTATGTTTCGACTTAAATAATATAAACTCAAAAATATGTCTAAAAAAATTAGTTCTAGAAAAAAAAACATACTTTTTTAATTACGAGTATTAATTATTATACTGCTCCCTCTGACCAAAATTTCTGCAACCCCCCTAAAAATTTTATGAACGAATGTTCTGTACAGTAACTTCTAGGTACTTTTAGACCGTTACAATTGCATGATCATATTTTAACATTTCTAAAAAATGCGATGAAATTAAAAGTTTACGAATATTTCTTTAATACTTATGTGATACTTTATGTGAGGTTTCATTAAGAATAAATTTTTTCGAAAATTTCTTTTGTCTGAGTTCTGCAAAATTTTGTATTCTTTTAAATGGCAACCCACAATAAAACCAGTTTTTACAAAATCTATGATCTAAGAATTACACCTATCTACACTGTATTCAATTTTTATCGAACAAAATTTTATGTTGCCATTAAAAAAAAATCGCATAACTCGAAAGCAAAACAAAATTCCATTCTTAAAACACAATCACTTTTTTTGAAGCACTTTAATTTTTATTAATTATTATATTCTGAAAACAAATGATTAAAAAAAGCCTCCTTATTCACTTTGTACACGGTGTTCCATATTTCTAGTTGAAAGAAAATAAAAATTTGATGCTGTGATATTGATTAAAATTTTTAGCGTATGGCAGAGGCCGTAAAAACTAATTTTGAAAAAAAATAAGTTGTTAACGCATAAAATAGCAATCACAAACATTAAAAAAAAATACTTGTACAAAGTACTCTGGCGACTCAAATTTAAACAATTTAATAATAATACTTAATTATATCAATTTTTGTTTTTATTCAACCTGCAAAAATCTCATATCTTTCGCTCGACTCAGCTCACGTCGTACTTGTAAAATGGAAACCTATCTCCTGTCATTGTTTTCGGCGGTCGCCTCAGGTTTTCAATTTCCTCTAATCACCGTAACTACTCCTCTGTGTACACTAGCGTAAGAAAAATTGAATAGCCCGCAGCAGTCTTGGAGTAATTCTTCGATCATCCTCGGGATTGTCCCTTTGCACGTACTTTTTCCCGAAATTCGATTTGGAACTGTATCAAAAATCCGGATGCATATAGCGTGCAGTGGCGCACGTCGGAATCAATCGACTACGAGACACCAAAATTGAATAGACGCCTCTGGCAAACCGCGGTGTAGATGACGGGCTTACCCCTTGTACTTTATTATCGGTGTGCTGATCTAATAACACGTCATTTTGCAGCCCTAGGCCCGACGCGAGACACAAACATGCAAAACATACGCCAAGTTTAATGCTAAAAAAGAAAGGATTCCTCCCGAGATGCACGTTTCACGACTTTGAACCAATTAGAAAAAAAGGCCAAATCCCGTTGTTGTTTCGTAACGAATGAGGAAAAGATTATAAAATCATAAACCGAGACGATGGACGTAAAATTTCAGCAGATAAAAATTTCACGATCGTTTTACAAGCTGATAATAAACAATAAGAAACGGTTTTATGTTTGGTATATATAAAAAACGACTTACCACCTAAATCCGCGAAGAAAATGTCGCGGAGTGCCAAGAATTCCTCCTCGGGTGCCATATTGTTACTCCCAAAGCAATTATTTTCAGGCCACACTTCTCTGCAAAACAACCACACTGGGTTATAAAACAATCGATTATGTTTTGTTTAGACTGTATTTTATTAACGTTATCAACCCAACACATTTACAATTATTATTCACCAATTTATAATTCGCTAATAACAAAACGAAATCAAAATTGAAAAACTGAAAAATGTAATAGGATTAAATTTTCTGGCTGTTTAATGTTGTACCTATATTTCTATTTAGTACGAATACTCGAAAGTGTCATAACGTGTGATTAAAAAGTAAAAAAAAATTGTACGTAAAAAGCAAAATTCATTATTTACACAAAAACAACAAAAAAATAGTAAACAAAATAATACAGAGTAATAAAAATATAAAACAAATATTAACAATCATGCTAAAACAATGAATAAAGCAAAAAAGTCTCTAAAATACGTTTCAACCATAATTCTACAAAAATGTTAAGGTCTTAGATTTTTAAGACTGAAGAAACTTTAGAATATGGAATTCTAAAAAACTAGCAAATTTTAGATAAAAATGTAAAATTGAAATAGTAGACAAAATAAAAATTTAAATAGAATAAATGAGAAAAAAAGTAGTAAAACCAAAAACAGATTAAGATGTCAGCAAACCTGTGAAATTAATACAATGATTATTAGTAGGTAGAATAAAAATCCAAGAAAATAGAAAAGATACAACTATTAAATGCAAAAAACCTTGGTTCTCTTTAGTTAATTTTATGTTTTAAGTTAATTTTAGCCTAATTCACATATTGTGAATAAATAGACCATTCTTCAAAAAATGCAGTTAATTAAGTTTCAACTTAAAAATACTAAAATCTCATAAAAATCAACTTTTAGATTTAAAAGCTGCAGCTTTAAAAAATAAAAATAAATCAACCTGAGTAAAAACAGTAAATTTTCTGCTAAAAGATAAACAGATGTCTTCATGAACAAAGAACTAAGATCTAATTATTTACAAAAAGTTTTTCCTAATAATTTTTTACTTTTTTAGTGTCCACTGTTTCAGTCCAATTCAACAGTTTAGTTTAAATTTTGAACACATTTTAAATAAAAACAAATTTATCAAAAAATCTTTTAAAATCCGAGTTTTAAGTTTTGAAGCCAGAGCTTAGAGACCATAGACCAACCTGACTGAAGACAGCCTACGTAAAAAAGATATTTTGCTTAATTTTCTTGCTATAAGATAAAGAAATTTACTTGAAAAAAAACTAAAATCTTTTACTGACACTTTTTGTTTTTTTAGTGTCCCTTGTTTCAGTCCAATTGAACAAAATGTGCTGTTTGGTTTAAATTCTTGTACTTTTAATTGCTCTTGAATAAAAAACCAACAAATTCTGCGCTTATCGCTTCCACTTGTGGAATCCGGTGGCATAAATTATGTGACAATAATCATAATATAGAAGCTTTTAGAACAAGCCGGAGAACCATTTTAATCTCTCCACAGTGGAAAAGTTGAGTAAATGACAACCAACTCGTAAAATTTATCCCGAAACTTCCAAAGTCCTTAATAAGTAAAACAAGCTTATGCAGTGCAAATGTAACCCAACCGCCGCGTCCTGATATTATAGTAATTAGATGTTTAAGCGTGAAGTTAAACTTAAATGCCGTATGTTTGCGCAGGTTAATTAGTTTGAAGTTGGGTAAAAGTCGATTTTTCCCCTATATAGCATCGATACATACCTGGCAGCCCGCAAAAGACTGATTGCATTTTCGTATTCGCCATTTCGTAACTTCCTTTGGACGTTTTTCATAGCTTCGGCTCTGAGGAAATAAAAAATAAACGGATTTATGACTTCACCTTTTTGAATAATTAAATTCGAAACAGTAAAATGTAAAATTCGAGTTTATTACGTACTTTTGTTCGTCTATGGGAACGTCAGAGGCGGCATCAAATGGAACGACGTCTGTAGAAAAGTCCGCATTTCCTTCGAGAACGGTGGACAGCTGCGGGGCGGCTTCATCCCACCGTCTTTCTAAATTTACATCTGGCTGTGGCACGCCATCATCCTGACTCGCTATAAAATTACAAATTAACTCAAGTCACTCGCTTCTGTTGTTACAACATCGTCTCAACTTCAATTATTTATTTGTCTTGTTCAAGAGGACGACTTTTACAAAAGCAAACATGAATGAGTAATAATCTGCGAGCAAATATTGGAAGAAAGACACTGGAGTCGACTACAGATCAAAAATGTGCAACTTTCGCTGTATCAACACGAAAAAATCGCATTTTTAAAGCGTCGCAAGATTAATGGCCATCGCAAACACATTACTTACCGACGCAACAATGGAAAATCTGTTATACACTTACCTTTTTTCTTCCTCCCCTTCTTTTTCACTTTTTTCTGTACGACAACCGCTCCGTTCGAGCCGCAAAAACTCTCCAACAACTTAATGAAAACATGTTGGGTCTCCATAAGATCCTTCAGATACGCGTTCGACATTTTCAATTCGTCGTAGGTGATTAATAAAGTTATCACGAATTCGCGATATTCCACTATATAAAATATGTTGCTTTTTATCACACGAGTCGAGTCGCGGACTGTCTCATCAGGGGATTTATCCATGGCACAAAGTGTTAGAAACAATTCTCTGTAGGCGAGAAGGGCGAGGTGGAGGCGTCTGGACCACAGCAAGAGGTTTTTCTTATCAGAGTGGATCATGTCGAAGTATTTTTCCATCAGTTGTTGCACGTAGCGGAAGGTCTGCACCGCCATTGTCTCGCTAAGTAATAAACAGATCAAAAATAAAACAAAAATACGTCAACTACAAAGACACAACGGTTTCATGAAACTACAGAACAGTACACCTGTAAAATGAAAAAAAAAAAATAAAAATAGAAACCGAATTAATAGACGTAACTTAATAGTTCAGACAACAAACAAGTTGTATAACGCATTGTTCAGAACAGGATTTTTAACTTTAGCGCCGTATTTGAGTTAGTCAAAAAGAAAACATAAATAAAAAACAGTAAAAAACTTGAGATTTAAAGGCAACAACACATTTTTCAATTTTTACCAGTGAATATCTCAAAAACTATTTCAGATACAAAAAAATTAAACAATTGTCTTGTAGGAAATTTTATAAGCTTTTATTTAGTACATAATCATTTTTGTAACTCGCACTGTTTTCGAGATAATAAAATGTGTCAGAACTCGCGTCCCAAAAAACAAATTTCAAGTAAGATAAGATATACACAAGGAACATGAAAAAAATGTTTAAAAAATTCAATCTGTCAAACATTTTTGACATTTATATTTTGATATTTCACATTTTTTTAATCTTATTTAATAATACTGATGATCTTGTATATGTTTTTTTAGAATTACTAAGTAAAAGTACAAAAAAATTTGCCAATAAAAGCCACAAATAACATTAAACAGAGTTATAATTTTAAGATACTGCTTCCTTGCTTCCTTGTTTGACTTTTTTTTAACATTTGACAATTTTCATGTCTATTTAATGTTACTGATGATCTTGTATACAGGGTGAATATAAAGTATGGAAACATGCGGGTTTTTTTGCCTCCAGAAAATAATGATTAATAAAATTAAAGTAATATAAAAAATGTGATTGTATTTTGAGAACGAAATTTTGTTTTTTGAGTTTGCAATTATGAAAAAAAATTGTTTTCAAAAAATTAAATATAAAGTAGATAGTTATATTCCTTAGATCATACACCTCCTAAGAAAAATAATTTTATTGTGGGTTGCTATTAAAAAAAAATTGTACAACTTAAAAACAAAAAAAAATCGAAAAAAAATTATTTTTGATAAAACATCACATTTCTATAGTGCTTTACCATTCATCAATTAGTTTATCCAAAATATAATTAGTTTAAGCAAAAAACGTTTAGTTTCATACTTTTTATTCACCTAGTATGTTTTTTTTTATAATTATTCAGTACAAGTACATCCAAAATTTTCTGTCAATAACAGTTACAAATAACGTTAAACAGAGTTACAATTTAGGATACAACTCCTTTGCTTCCTCTTCTAATAGCCTGTAGTAAGAAACCTTGGAAAATAATTTTTCCAACAGATGAAAATTTCAACTCACATAAATTTTTATCCATAGAATTTTGGTACAAGTACCTTACCTTACATGACATTTTTCTATGAGACGCGAATTCTGAAACAGACTGTATTTGTGCCTCTACGACTAGAAGAACCATAGATTAGAAAAATTAAAGAAAAGCTAAATTAAAGAGAAAATTAAACAAAATAAAAAATAAAGTAAACACCTCACAACTGATTTCTTTGACATTCCAATGAACTGTTTAAACCTTAAATGATAAATTTGAGAAAACATAACACTTCAAAAAACAAATTAGAAATTACTATAAGGCTACAATTCTATAAAATTAAAAAAATCTAAAAATAAAAAAAATGAACATACAAAAACATTAATACAGAATAAAAATTAAAAAAACTAAAATAACTGTAGAACTACAAGCTACAGAAACATAAAAGAATAAGATTAATAAAAAACTGTATAGGTTTACTAAGAAACCAAAACATATAGCGAAAATTTCGGAAATTATAGAAATCTAAATTTATGATTCTAAAAAAAATCAATTAAAAAAATTAAAAATGTAGACGTTTTACGTAAAGAAAGTTGTAAAGTAACCAAATAGACATTGAAAGATCAAAACGAAAGGAAACAGATCATGTAGAAAAAAAATCCAATACAAATATTAAGCAAGAAATTGTAAAGCTAATGAAGTCTCAAAACAGTATAAATAAAAATAAAAAAATAGTAAAGATAAATAATTTAAAAGTAAAAACAGAATAACATTTAAAAATAAACAAAAAAAAATTATTTCTTTAACTTAATTTCCATGAAACTGATGAGATCTAGGATGGAGGCATAGAACTTGATAAAATTAGAAATGTGAAGAAGAAAAACAAAACTAAGAAAAAACTAAAGTTTAACAAATCTACAGAAGTGTGAATCCACAGAACAAAAAAACTAATTAAGTAAAATAGAACCGAAATATTTGGAGTTTTGTGTAGCATGTGTGTTGTTTTGTGGAAAATGTGTCGTAAATTTTCATGTAAAATGAAAAACGGGCAAAGTGTCGCCCAAGCGTAGTTCGTGTGAAGTGTTCGAAATGGCAACAAAACTGATTTGTGTAAATTAAACAAATTGAGTAATTCAGCGTCTGGCAAAAAGTGTAGCAACCGTTTAACTCTCTGTAACCGTTGGTAAAGTGGATTAAAACATGCAAAAGGACTTACCTAACTAATTTAACTTCAAACTTATAACATCTATTAAATTCCATGAAAAACCTAAGGGCCCATAAATAATAGGATTCATCGTGTGCTTGTGCCCTAGCTCGGACTAAATTATCCTTAACGTGATACATCAGCGTGTTGTAAGCCCCATTTAAAAATTCAACACAAAACTCTTTCAGAAATAATCTAATGCTGAAAGCCGAACGCCGTTCAAACGTGCTACTCTGCACCGGCATGCGATTTTTTGGTGTTTTGGGCTTCTTTTTGTCCGCGTCGAAATTCAAAGCTTCGAGTTTATTTAACGGCTTGTGATAAATAAGTTCGTTGTCGCTAATTGATTTCATTGATTTTAGGACGTATGTGCCGCCGAATCTCGAATGCCTGCAAGCGGTTGCAAAAATCAACAAACATCACAAACACACGCGATTCTGCATCCAGAATCAATATGCGGAAAAACAATACACAATTGCGCTATATTTAACGATAGCTTTATTAATTATTATTCTATTTTAATGCATGATACATTTGCAAATTACCGACACACTTTATATTTCACAACGAATGCGGTTGGTTGTTTAATTAATGCCACGCTTATTATAACTGACAGTCAAATTCAAGCTCCAATAACCACCCATTTGAGCAAATACAAGCATTTTGCTAAAAAACAAACAACAAATACGGAAGCGGCCACTCAAAAAAACTGGGTTCAAGCCCGGGTCCCGCTATTTTTTTCAAATAATCATTTTTTCAATGAATAGAATAATAACTAAACACTATTAACAATCACAAAAGTAACAATTTCAACAGAACAAAAGTGAAAAATTGCTAAAATGTTATCGCAAGATTAGTTGGGTCTCTTACCTTGCTCCGTTGTACAATTTGGTTTTTTGGTGCTTTTGCTTGGTCTCGCGATGTCTTATCGCGAGTAGTTCAGCTTCATCTCTCATTTTTTCCGTCTCGCTCCGTTGGAGAGCAGCCCTCGCCAATTCCGCCGCTTTCTGTTCTCTTAACATAAACGACAATATTTCTAAAGTGTGCATGTAATAAGCTTTCTCGTTCGTGGAACTTGTTATGAACAAAATTATATCCAACATTCCGGATTGATGTAACGCCCACAACACCTACATGAATTTTCTACGCTCGTTTCACTCGAAAAAATTAAAATAAGAACGAGAAAAAATACCTGGTCGTGGATGCTAGCGTCGTTATCGGGGCGTTTTTCGGTGCTTGGGTCGGGGGGGACGTATAATATATTTCGAATCAGGATGAGGATCCTCTCTATTATCAAGCTGTTTTCGTCCCCGCGTTCCGTATAACTCTGCAATAAAAAACACGAGGATTTTTTCAATGTAATTAATGACGAATTTCGAAGTTTAAAAAAACGAAAATGGTCATTATTTACAGCAAAAATAGTGAGTGTTCAAACAGTGTTGAAACAAGGGCCATTCATTATTTATTTTTAATTTATTCGGCGAAATCCGTACTATATGCTCCAATAAACTACCTCCGTTTTTGGAGATCATTAACTTCATTTGGGGCTTCACATTTAGGGTAACATAATAACGAGAGATAATTATAGACCGATTTCTTTTATTTGTAAAGTTTCTCGCCTTGACAACACACACTTCTAAATAAATATTGATTAAACGTCACAACAATTAAAGAAAGTTCTTGTTTAGAAAAAAGCATTCCTCCAAACCATAAAAATGTATATTCTAATAAATATAAGTAACAATTAATTAAAAAAAAAAAAAACAAAGAGTGATCCGCATCTGACAAAAAAAAAGAAAATAAAACACTATTGTATTCTATTTCCACATTGAGAAAGTAACAACCGCGTTTTTTGGGGTGAAATAAGGTAAATGTGAGAGATGTCGACCGATTAACTTAATTCTCGTTTTTAAAAAATATAGAAAATACCAGTGGTCAACCACACAAAAACAACACAAAGAGAATCTATCGGGAAAAATGTTGAGCACCATATTTAAATACTTTGAATTTAATATTTAAATCTTATTGTCGACTACTGTCGACATATGATTTCTGTGTAAAAGAAGAATCTGTGTTACAACTGAACCCTACTGTAAAATTTAGAGCCAAGAAGCTCCGCTATATCATACAGAAAAAGCTTGTGAAAAGTGACAGAGCTGTAGAGCTAAAAAACGGCTAAACGTAAAGACCCTAGAACCCAAAAGGCTACGAAATTACAAAACAATAGAAATGTAACATTAGAAAAAAAACAACTTTACAAAATACATAAATAGATGCAAAAAGGAAAGCAAACTGAACAAAGATAAAAAAGTAAATAAAAAATAAAAAAGTCCAAGTTCAAAAATAAACTAGCATTATTTTTTTTATCACTTAAATTGAAGTTAACTGATCAATGTAAAAATTAAAAGCAAAAGAAAACATAAATAAAAAACAAAGTTACTCGGTTTGAGAAAAATAATTTGGAGAGCTATAAAAATGCAAAAAAAAATAGTAGGTATACAACAACCGAAATAGGAAATATGTATTTCATTACCCCTATGGTCCAGGTTATCTGACCGAAAGGTGCCCCCTTGAGGTTAAATGGAGCCCAATAATACATATAATGATTTTCCTACCGAGGTTTATTGTTAATTTATTCACAATTACAGACAAATTAAACTAAACTAAAAAACAAAAATAAAAAATATGAGATCTAAAATCAAAAACTTGTAGTAGTAGAGCAACTAAAATTTAAAAAAAATACAATAAAACAAACAAAAATCATAAGTATATTATTCAACAAGTGAGAAAATTGGTCATATCGAAAGATAATCAAATAAGCCGAAGGTGAGTGGAGTAATTTAGCTGAGTGGAAATGAGCATTTCTCACGAGTTTGATACTATATTTCTTCTAATCTTAAATAATGACTGTGTTCATTTTTCTTTTTATTATTATGATCTAATGTTTTCCAAATTGTGTGGAGAAAATTAAATTGAGAAAGTTATTCAGTTTTCAACAGTAAAAAAAATTCAAATGTGTGGAGAAAAGTAGGTAAAAATTCTTGAACATGATCATAAAAAATGATAAACAATAACTGTTATACTAAAGTAATTATAAAAAACTGTAAATCTACAGGATGATTCTTAAATAGACTGACAAAATTTTATCCTTGGTAGTATAAAATAAGAACATGCTGGAAAAAATATTTAAAAAATTCTTGTTTAAACGTTCCTCAAATAAAATTTATTAAAGTTATTTTCGAAGTAAAACGTACGCCACTGATGTGTTCGCACAGATAGTGGAAACAATGGTATTAACGTACTTGATCATTGCAACAATTCATAAACGCCGTAAGTGGCACGGATCAAGGGGGTTTTGCCCCTAAAAGGTATAAACGTAAAAATGGTACAGTTTGTTTCCATTTATCCTTAGGAAGTGATAAAATTTTGTCAGTCTATTTAAGAATCACGCTGTATAATGCCCGGTTTCTAGAACGATTTAGCATTAGATACGTTTTATCGGTTCGATAGTTACTAAGGCAGCACTGATCTGATTGGTGTTTCTATAGCAATTACGGAACCGATAAAATTTATGTAACGATAAATCGATTCAGAAACCGACCCTAGAACTGACAAACCAATTAATATTAAAAAAGTTTAAAAACATAACTAATTGTATAAAATTTTAAAAAATTAGATAAGATATCAAGAACATAGAAAAGCAGTGTAAAAAAATTTAAAAAGCCATTATAAACTATAAGCAAAGTGGGAAAGATTAATAAAAACATTGCGATTAAAATATACTAATCAATATACAGGCTGATTTTTAAATAAACCGACAAAATTCTGTCACAGCTTCCCCGGGATAAATGGAGACAATCTGTACCCTTTTTACATTTATATCTTTTAAGGGCAGAACCCCCTTGATCCGTTTATGTTATTTATGTTACGGCGTTTATGTATTGTTGCAATGATTAAATACATTTTCATTTTCATTTTCATCAAATTAATACCATGGTTTCCACTACCTGTGCTAGTATTTACAAACACATTAGTGGCGTACGCTTTACCTCGAAAATAACTTTAATGAATTTTATTTCGAGAACGGTTAAACAAAGAGTTTTTTTTATTATTTTTTTCGGATTGTTCACATTTGATACTACCAAGGATAAAATTTTGTCCTTCTATTTAAGAATCATCCTGTATATTTGTTACTAATACTTACTTATGTGTCCAGAAAGTATACAATTATTTTAATCTCTAAAATGTAGATAATGACAAAAAGAAGCCGATTTTAAGAAAAAAATTTAAGATTTTTTTTATTTTATTTTCCAGGGAATAAAAAGTCACTTTAGTCCCTATTGGAAAAAAATTATTACTCCACTTATAAGCAGATAATTATAGGCCGACTTTTTTGTTAAATTACTCGCTTTGACATGTCACACATCTGAAAAAAAAATAATATTGATCAAACGTCCCGATAATTGATAAAGTTCTTGCTTTGAAATTTGCGGCAACTTTCCCGAAAAACCACTCCTTTCAAAGTGAATTAATTAAAATTTCAGAAGGGAATAACATGATTAAATTCCTAATTAAAATCTGTAGAGCACAACAAGTTGCTTAACAATTTGTGTGAGTGAAAAACTCGAACGTCCGACTCAATTATTCGAAACAAATGGAGCTGGATAGCACGTATTAAAAATCGTTTTCTGACGAGATCCGCGCAAAACATTAAAGTCACCCAAAGTTTACGTTGAAACGGCATAAAACAGAAACATTAGCAATAACGGCGTCTGTTCAAAACATGCGAGAACTCAAAATGCCTCCAGTCGTTTCACTAAATTACCCTAAGCCCGTTTTCGATGTACGAAGTGTAATTCTAACAAAAAAGCCATATCTCAAAAGGCGTTTCTACAGTCATTACTTCCACTTAGAGTTGCACTCGAAATGACCCAATTATTACACACACAAATCATCGGGTAATTTCGCGAAGAAGTCGTATGTAAAGCCAACTGTGGCTCAGTCTAAGACAGTACAATCTTGTGTAAACTGCCAATATTACTTACTAACTAATTGGACGCCGGTTGGAAAACTCCTCGCATATTTCAGAACTGTTTCGCCAACTTTAAATTAAGAGTTAGACTTAGGTAAAATCATTAAATATTAAATGAGTGATTTACAAACGATAAAGTGTTGGCTTTATTTTCAAACAGCAAAAGTTTCTCTTTAACATCAGTTCGCCGGCTCAACAGTTTTAATTAAAACCAGTACACGACCAAAAATCTTTACAATTATTAAATTCAAACTTATTAAAGAGCTGAAAATTGCTACTCTCACTGCGGTAATAAAAGCGATAAAAACCTTCCTTTTTCTAAAATCCCACTAATGAGACGTCTCTCAAATCCTTTTTTCAAACAAAAACTAATTTTAATTAAAGTTTCAAAACTTCTCGCTTGCGAATACTTACAGTTTCTAAAATTTTACTCAATCTCGTACTCAGAACGGCCCAAAAGGTTTCATCTGCGAACGTCTGCTTGTAGCTTTTTAAATGATCTTCTATCTGCAAGTAGTGGTTTCGCGTTATTTTGTCTGTGGGGACCTCCTCGTTCCACAACATTAAAGCAGGAGTTGTTAAATTCACTAAAAGTCTGAAATAAAATAAAAATCTATAATAATAAATCCCGCATTCAGCAATTTAATGTTTCCATTAAATAAGACCCAAATATCGCAATATTTATGTCCCAATTCAGCTATTATTGTAACTCTCTGCTTTCATAATTTCCTACTTTATTATCTCCAATTCACAATTAACATAAATTGGCGCCGAAATACCGTCGTAATTAGCCCTAATTTTAATTAACTCAAACATAAAACTGTTTGCATAACGCAACATAAAAAACAATATTTTTTTTATTCACATACAGAGTGTAACAATTAAAGTTATTTTAGTTCGACAAAGTCAGATTATGTTAATAGTGTCACCATTTTTAATCGTTCTTTTTCAAAAAAGAATACATGTATAACTGGTTGCATAAAACACCGTAAAAACATTTTTTGTAATTTTAAATACAAGAGGTAACAGTTATAGTCATTTTACCTTAACAAAACGTCGAATAAGTCAGTCTCCTCCCAATAGCTCTTCAAAAGGGGCACCAAATCGTTCTGCAAGACCTTAATTTCGCCAAGTTGTCTGCGTATATCATGGCTTTCATCATCCCGTCTCAAGTATCGAATTAAATCTTTTACAGTCTCAAGAGTATTAGAATCTGCATAATACTTATTAGATTTAGCATCGTAATAACCCAAAGCACTGCAAGTAGCGGCCAATTCGGCCGATAAAAGCGATGACATCGTTGAATCACTAAATAACACCAAAAGCGGGTTTTATACCACACTGTCACATAAATTAACTTAAAATACACACAAACTTTTAATAAGAATTTATATTAATGTGGGAAAGTTATAAACACAAGTTGTGATTTATTAGTTTCAAACTTTAATTAATTAGTGATTGTACCACTTGTAATATCAGTTCACGGACAAGGAACACCACAAACCATGATATTTCATGGCTTTAACACTGATTAAAATTACGACGTATTTTAGTAAAATAAACATAATTAAGCAACTCGTAAATAAAAAGTAAGGTTAGGAAAAAAGGCGCCAAAAAATAAGTGGGAGCTGTCATTCTGCGTAAACGCACGAAGAGGTACGTGAAAAACCGAAATAAGCTTATATATACAGGGTTGCCTATATAATTTTAAAAATCTTGATTTTAACTTGGAAATCTTCCTTCGATCACTTCCAGGCGAATTATATTTAAATTCGTCAAAATGGAAATTAAACTTCCCGCATCACTTCCGCCAGTTGGAAAATTAGCGATATCGACAGGTGAAATAAGCTGTTTCGTAAATGGGCAATATCCCATTCAATTTATCATGAATGTGGTTAGCAAAGTTACCAAATCAGGGTCTCATAGGAGTTCTAAATTTGCGGAAATGGAAACGCGACAAAAATTTCCCCCTCAACATTTAGTTTTAAATTTTGAGTGGAGTTCCGCATTTCTTCAACTCGGGGAATACATCAATGCAACAAATATTCGAAGTCATCTAAATTTATGGCATATCATTCTCTATCCATCAGGATTAGACCGGTGCGGAAATGATTATAGGTAGCAAACCCTTCGTAATAACGAAAATTGACTCGAACATCGTAAGTTAGCACTGAAACAGGCCGGCTCTTGGAATGTGTCTAGGGACGGAAATGCTAAGACTGCAGCATCCATCTAGCTAAGTGACAACATTTACTTGGGGTTCAAGCGGAAATGTTCGCCCGATCGGGGGCTGCGCATCGTCCTAATTGCGAGACCGCTTTTTAATTCAATTGCGAGATGTAGAATCAATTGTTGGTTCGAAAATAAACTCGATAATAGAAAGAGAAGAGTTTTCAATTGTTCGATATCCTCCAATTTTTAAAAATTACTACAATTCTTCTTTACTAAAACTACAGGGTGATTCAAATAAGATAATGAGCCCGACGTTCTGGCGATGCAACCCAAAAAACAAATTTCATTTACGTCTTGATCTAATTTTAATTCCTATTAGCATTTACAATCTAAGTTATCTTATGTTACTCTGACAGTGCTTTGACAAGCATTTTATGATTTATAAAAAAAAACTGTTTGCCTACCTTTAATGTTTCATTCTTTGTACATTTTGTATTGGGTTTACACCGAAAAGACTTCTCTAATTTCATCATCATTCCGCGAGAACTGAATGGTCGTCAATGTCACTTGAGTGACATTAAATTGTAAAGTATGCTTTAGGACTGTTAACCTTATTTTTAGCTACTGTCAATCATAGTTGACAAGTTGTATGTACATATTTTTGATAGGAAAATATAACAGCTGTCATTAATTTTAAATTGTCATTTATTTTAACGTTAAAGCTTGAATTACATTGAAGTGTCAAAAAAGTGACGACCAAAGTATTTTGTCTCCAACTGTACTAATAATGGTTCTCTGCGTTGATGTCAAAGTGACATAAGATGATAACTTGGATTCAACTTGCAAATCCTAATTTAAATTGGATCGAAGACGTAAATGAAATTTGTATTTTGGGTTGCATCGCCAGATCGTCAGGCTCATTATCTTATCTGAATCGCCCTGTATAATAGGTAGGTAGTAGACGTCTAAATGCATCTTTAATTTAATGGTTGATTTATACAAAAAATGTCATTAATGTCATTCAAAACAAATTTAATCACAGCAGTAATGACAAGTCTTTAATTTTGCTACCCTATGTTAATTATGTTGTTGGTTTTAATTATTTTTTACTACCTGGGGTACACATTTATTTGAAAAAATAATTTTTAGGGAAGATTAATGAGGTTAGGTTCGCATGGTTGCCACCCTAAAATGATCCCTTTCAACGACTATGATATGTAATATGAAAACGAGTGTAGTTACATTGGGAAATGTTAGTTTAAATGAACCTGTCACTAAGGAAACTAGTACAGAAGGGCTTTGAAATAAAACACTCCCTAATTAACTTGCTTTGCTTTTATTTATTGTCCATTATTTTATTTACATTCTGTTACACATAAAAGCATGGATAATTTTGTTAACTGTGATGCTATGCTAATGATACTATTGATTCTAACACAAATTATACGAGGCAATTATAATAATTTTGTTTACAGTAGTTCTGAAATATAAACTTTCAATTAACATAATTAAATTCCTGATAACTAAGTTATTGGCGAAAATAATATTAATTGTAATTAACAAAACAATCTAATTAGCAAATTATACGTTTCAGAAACTTAACAACTGTCTAAATAGTAATTTATTTTTTAGTAATAGAAATTAAATAAAATGAACCACTTGAAACTATAATTTTAAATCATTTTGTGAAACCAGATAAAAACCAGCTGTCTGATTGAATAGGTGGAAATCTCCCCTACACAGTGTATTTTTATCACCAGTGTTTTGATTTGGCGAAGGGGAGACTGGAAGTAGAAATGTAGCAGAAGTAAAAGATTTCACTTCTATCACTAAGCAAGTTAATGTAGAGCCGCAAAAAAATTTTGTATACAAAACGTGTGCTTAATCGTTCATAAATGGCTGATGAAATAGACTTGTAGATTTGTTTCTGCAAATACGTCAATGTAAGTGAGTTTTTTGGTGACCAACCATCCATCAGTTTTAACCAGAACATGTTTAGGATCTTGTCCTGTTTTACGTTTATGTCCTTTTAAAAACAAACAGACCTAAGTGTACCGTTTTTGAGATTTTCATTTTCAGCTTAACAAAAGTTTTCTTGTATGTTAATTAAAGGTCGACATTTGAAATATGTTCATTGTGTGTGGTCTTTTGAAAAACTTAACTGAAAGTAGAAACACTTAAAATTACTTATAATGACCAAATTGATAAAGCAGCGAAAAAGACAACATAGGAAAATGTCACGCTTGGGTGCAAAAACAGAATTTTTCCTCGATGGCCCAAAGGCAAAACTTTTACTTGTGACATTTAGTCATAAAAGTAGTCCCTTTGTGACATTAATAAAAGATCTTAATCTGTAATAAAGTTATTATAAAATATTTAAAACGTGTAATGTTTGTTTTCTTTCATTTACACAGGAAAATTTTCAAATTAATGGAAAAATGGTTCTCTTGTGCTAAAAATGCAAACAATGGTGAGAGTTTAATTATTTTTGAATTAGCTTGTAGATTTATCTGCGACGCTTTAAAGTTTGAATGTCGCAGCTATTTCGTTTTTGTTTTGCCTATTAGTTGTGCTCTAGACTTGAGAATCAACAAGAGAATGCCAATAAAACTTTACAAGAGTTGAATGTAGCTGGAAACAGTCAAACACGAAGACAAAGAACTGTTTTCAAGTTTATAAAACTGTTAATTTATTCGGTGTAAAAACAGACGTGTATGTGCTTTAATTGTTTTCATGTTTGGTTAAATATACAACAAAATTTTATATTTAATTAACTACGCTTATTAATATAAATTTCATACATTCGAGGAGGAAAAAAGAATTTTATTATCTAGATAAAAAATTTGATGTGGGTCTTTCTGTGCCCACCTGTGCGTAAAAAGTGGATCAAACAGTGTCCCGAAGAGCGTTCCGAAGGCAAAGTAAACGAATAAAACTAGAGTTAACACCGGCAGCATGTCTAATTAAATATTGGAACGGCAGCAGTAAAGATGAGGCTCGCTTCGCAAGCAAGCAGGAAGCAGTCGAAAGAGCTGACGTAATAGCTCGTCTCCTGCTGACTCCTGCAATCACACTCTTCATGTCAGCGTCATCTGGCGTCAGCTACGTGTAATTACAAGCTTGCTTTAATTACTAATGTAAACGACACCGCCGTTATCCCCGTCGACAAACCCCGAAGCTCCCGCATGCAGGAAGCATCACGAATTTATTTTATATCTGACTCGTGAATTCCAGACGTTAAATTCATCACTAATTGTTTCCAACGTTTTTTTTTCCAAAGAAACGAGGCGAATTTTCTTCGTGTCAATACTTTGCTTCCATCAGCATTATCTGGTATTCTCTTTGTTATGCTCATTTTAGGCCCTCGAAATCTCCCTATTATACAAAATGGCGAATAAGTGCGTGCTCTAGAGCCGATTTCCAGCTTCCACTGCCTTCAAAAATTCCTACCTGCTTTCAAAGCTCATTCATCATTTGCTAAATTTACGAAACTTTTATCATTATTCATTTGCCAATGCAAGAAATGCATCGAAATTTCCAATAACTCTTGATTAATCTTTCAGACTGAGCCAAATTCTAATTGAATTCCCTCAACGGGTCGGGATAAATTATGCCGAGAAAAATTTTCATATTTTACTAGAAGAAAAATGGACTCCGAACAGCAATAAAAGTGATTGTAACAATAATTCAAGAAATTACAGAAAAAGTGAGAAACATTTTTTCATGTTTTATGTTACCGTCGAGTGTCGTTTAAAACGAGCATAATGCAGATTTAAGAAGAGTGATATTTGCAAAGCAAAATGTTAATAAATGCTTCAAATGTTAATAAAAAATTCACACAGTAAAAGCGGTATAACAGAATTATAAAAACCGAAATCAATAATGATTTATTACGTTTCTTTCGGTAATCTCTCTTGTGAAAAACACAGCGAATATCAGACCACAAAGACGCCTTTATAAATGTTTTCATCTCGAATAAAAATTCGCCGTTGAGCCAATGTTCGTTTGATTTTTTGCCGACTCGGCGGCAACCCCATATGCAATAAATACAGTCAAATTAATCCAATAAATCTGAAAACTATAACCCTCTACAAGGTGGAAGACTCAATTCCTTTATAGTCTGGCAATATATCGCTACCCAACCCCAGGCTGCGGAACATTGCGCATTTTAATAGGTGATCTCTGCGAGAGTTAGGGCCAGCTGACCCGCAAAACTCGTAAAAAACGAAGCTTTTTATTTGGAATTTTCTCAATTGCGGTATTTCTAATTTATTTGGAAATCTGGAAAAGTGAAATTTTTTGGCAGCTTGTTGATACGGTCGGGTTTCCGACGCTTCACGTGAGGCCAGGAGTGACCTCACACGTGACCTGGGTCTAAGATGCCCCACGGACGCCGACTACAAATGAGCTGCGACCCGGTTAGCG